CTTTTTATTCGGAAGAATTAAAATGATAGGCATGCTTAAATTCAATAGTTTTGAGAAATGAAACAGTTTCAATTTCTACGGTATTGGTCACAAGGTAAAGGCGTGCTTTTGAATCTGGCTCACGATAGCTGAATGCTTGCACCAGAAATAGGAAAATCACATGTCCTTCTTGGCATAAGCTCTTTTGAGAATGACAGTTTGAATATTGTAATCCTACCTTGGTTTTAACTATCTGTTGTTATGCCAGCTGCTATATTTTCTACATCCTCCTAAACTCAGAAGGACATAAATGGATTTGAAATGCATCAGTCGAGGGGCGCCTGGGTGGCGCAGTCGGTTAAGCGTCCGACTTCAGCCAGGTCACGATCTCGCGGTCCGTGAGTTCGAGCCCCGCGTCAGGCTCTGGGCTGATGGCTCAGAGCCTGGAGCCTGTTTCCGATTCTGTGCCTCCCTCTCTCTCTGCCCCTCCCCCGTTCATGCTCTGTCTCTCTCTGTCCCAAAAATAAATAAACGTTGAAAAAAAAAAATTAAAAAAAAAAAAAAAAAAGAAATGCATCAGTCGAACAATTGGATATAGACAAGTCATTTGGGATTCAAGATTTGATGATGACCTAATTGGTTAAAGATAGTACAAGGAGATTTTTGAATGGCCACAGTAGTCTTGAATTTATGTACTGAATCGTTACTCAGATTTTAGTTTCCTTGTTTTTCTTTCAAACCTCACTTTCTATATTGTTTGTATATTTTGGGAACTTTGCTTCAGACGTTGTGCTACTTTTGAAGGAGACTGTTTTATATGAGTGTGTTGTCAGTGTATGTTGATGTTACAAGATGAATTTCTTTTTTTTTAAGTTTATTTATTTTGATGTTGAACTTTGAGAGAGAGAGAGAGAGAGAGAGAGCGAGCGCGCGGGCGCAAGTGGGGGAGGGTCAAACAGGGAGACACAGAACCCTAAGCAGGCTCCAAGCTGTCAACACAGAGCCCAATGTGGGGCTTGAACTCACAAACCCTGAGATCATGACCTGAGCCAAAGTCCGACACTTAACAGACTGAGCCGCCCACGTGCCCCACTACTTATTTATTTTGAGAGAGAGAGAGAGAGAGAGAGAGAGCATGTGAGCGAATGTGTGCAAGTGCAGAGGAGGGGTAGAGAGAGAGGAATGTCTAATTGTAGTATGCATTGCAAGTCACATTTTGTAACTATTCGGTAGCTCAGAAGTTTGAATGCAAAATTTGAAGCAGAATTGAGAATTCCACATGTCACCAGTTCAAGTGTAGACTGTTATTCTTGAAAGCCATTGTTTTACCTTTGCCTGATGTATGTGCTGTTCGTCTGGCGTTGGAAAACAGAGAAACAACTCCCATAGAGAATAGTGTGAAACAGAATTTCAATCGGAGGAATTGCTTGGGAGTCGGTTGGGACGCTTTAGTATGTACCCCACAACTTCCATTGATTATGGGTTCTACTTTGAGTTTTGTTTTTGTTAGCTAAAGTGTTAGGGTGAATGAAAACCTTTTTTTTTTTTTTTAATTTTGATTTAGAGGGTGGGAAGGAAAAGGTTCTACTCGAAATAACTTTTTTTTTCTTTTTAATTGAGTTTCTACCTTAGACATCTAGACATCATCTGCCTAGTCCAGCTCCTCCACTTTATAGACTTGGGAAGTCTGGCCCAGAGAATTTTTTTGATTCTCAAACCATATGAGGTAGAGAACTAGGTTTTTCTTCCTCCCCAGGGTATGGCAGGCCAATAATTTTGTAAAGTACAATAAAAATGAAATACCAGTAAATAATTTTAAAATAACATACACAATTCTAGATGCTTCCTCTTAATTTCTGTGCTTATTTCAATGTAGATGGATTACAAAGAGTTCTGGGACTAGAATAGTCCATAGACCATATTTGGTATATCACCGTCAAGGTAGGCGTTGGCAGACTGTCATATACGGGCCAAATACAGCTCACCCCTTGCGTTTTGTATGTAAGCTAAGAATTGCTTTTACATTTTTCAGTGATTTTTAAAAAAATCACAGTACTAGTACTTTGTGACACATGAAAACTATATAAAATTAATATTTCACCGTCCTTAACTAAGATTTTATTGAAGCACAGCCACACACATTCTTTTAAGTATTGTCTGGAGCTACTTTTCCCCTGTAAGGATGAGGTTGAGGCAGGGATGAGTAGTTGAGACAGAGACCATATGGTCTACAGAGCCTGATATATTTACCATCAGACCCTTTGCAGAAAAAATAAAGATTTAAAGAGCTGGCTCTAGGACAGAGCATTGAATTAGTAGTTAGTGGTAGAGTTGAGAGCACAAACAAGGTCTCCATTTACAAACGTGCTTTAAATATTGTCGTTAGCTGCTGTGTAGCACAGGCCCCGTGCTTAGTGCTTTGCCTGCCACGGTTCTGTAAACTTCCCAGCACTGCCCTTTTACACAAGTTAGAGAATTGTTAGCTTACTTCTAGTTATAGATGCCTTTATTGCCCCTAAATCTCTCTTTTTTTTAAATTTTTATGTTTATTTATTTTTGAGAGAGAGAGAGAGAGCACAAGCAGGGGAGGAGCAGAGAGAGACGGAGGCACAGAATCCAAAGCAGGCTCCAGGCTGTGAGCTGTCCGCACAGAGCCTGATAATGGGCTCGAATCCACAAACCAGGAGATTGTGACCTGAGCCAAAGTCAGACACTTAACCGACTGAGCCACCCATATGCCCCCCAAAACTCTTAATTCTACTGAGTTTTGGTTTTTAGTTAACTGCTCTCCAGTTAATTAAAAATGATTGAATATTTTCTAATGTAGATTTTGTTGTCACCATCTGCTTCAGAAAATTCAACTTCTTCCCTGTTGCTACTTTAGTTTGCACTGTTTCTGTGCGTTCAGGTCTAATGAAAGAAATACATAGGACTCAGAATCTTTAGAAAACAGATATTTTTAGTAACAAGATTGCTTCTTTAAAAGTCACCTAAAATAAAGCAAAACTGCAGCCAAACTTAATGGCAGATTTCTATTATAAAATAGCAGAAATATAATAGGTAAAGTACTAGTTACAACAAAAAAGATCGAGATTTTAGGTGACTTTGGGAGAAACAATAAGGCTTTCAGGTTTTTCCTCTACCTCATAAACTGCAAAATAAAAGCTCCCATCATATAATTGTCAAGCCTTGTTAAATGAACATACTGCTTTACTTATTTAAAGCAGGTCTGAAGTTCTCAAAGTATGCAGTAAAAAAACTCTGCTTTTCATGGGGCTGTTACTTCTTTGTTTTCCTACCCTTTGCATGTGATCACTCAGCTACTAAATAAAGATAGAGCCATAGCTGTCAGCTTTACATTTGATACATGAGTCTGCTTCATGATAAAGACCCTTTATAAGCCAAACCTTCATGTTGGGATTTCTTCTTGGAATTAAAAAAAACAAAAACAAAAACAAAACTGTTGCCATGAAAGCTTATTCATCGTGATGAAAGAGTAACCACGGTTTGAGATTGTGGTACTTGCTCTTTTATTCTGTTTACTCTTGAGTCAGTGTGTAAACATCTGGAAAATAATTATGCTTGCTTTCATTCAGAGATGAAATAATATGGAAAGTCCTGGCAAAATCTCGCTCCCATCTTTTCAGCCCTGGCTAGTTTTTACTATCCCACATCTGAGAGTGGCCAAGATTTAATGCAAGAGGTGCTGATGAACACTGTTCTGGCAGCTGCGTCCTAATTCCAGATAAGGCTATTCCTTTGTACTTTATAGCGAAGCCATTGACTAGATGGCTTATGGATTAAAGGAGGGGGAAGAGCTTTATAAACAGCAAGACCTATTACTTAGTAATACAGGAGGATTGCCTTCCATGTATTCCCAAGGAATGTATGGACTTTAGCTTGGAAGTGCCAATGAATGAAAATTCGGGACTCACCAACAGCAGTGGCTCCGACGTTTTTAGACATTATATAACATCTCTTTAACCACGTATTTAAATATGACATTTCTGCTTTGTTTTAAATTTATGTTGTAGTATAGTGGTAAATGGTAACAACTACTGTTCTCAGCAGGACACAAAATCTTAACTATTTGAACTGTTAGAAGAACTTGTAATTGAACCCTGCTTGTTTGGACTAGTTGTTATTGTATTTAGTAGCCTAACCGTCCGTTGGGTGGTATTACAGCAACACCCGCCATCCCTCCACGCCCATGTGCTCACATACCAGGTATGGCTGGGAAGTGTTTTGGATTAATAAATCATTACATCTGGATTTGACTCAAACAGTACTTCTCTCCTTTGGGAGCCTCCATGTCTAAGAATTCTCCGTAGCCACTTTCTACCTAATACAGCATGTGCAGCATTCATTCCTCGGCATGTATCATAGTGATATTCTGCTTCTAAACATTTTTTATGGAAAGAATTATTGCAGAGGGCAGTTCTTTTTTGCAGCCTGACTGCAGGGGAGCAGGGTTGCATGCATTCCTATGTCCGTTAAACTTCCTGGAAGCAAGCCAGCATGTTCTGGTGAGTTTCCTGTGCAAGCAGCGAGCCACTAAAAGGCTTGCACGGTATTACAACTCTTCTGAGGAGAGGAAGCGTTAGGAAATTCAGCAGTAAAGCAGCAGCAACAAGCAGCCACAGTGGTAGTAAAGATAGGGAGGTTCCCGGTTAGCGTATTTCCCAGTGTGAGGGAGTGAGCACACAGCTTCCCATTCCGCTGCCTGAAGGAGGCAAACCAAAACTGGCTTCTCGCAAGATTTTTCTAGTTTCATGTTTATGATGCTAAGTCATGTGATAATACTGTACCACAAGTTGCCAACTTTGCTTTACTCTAGAGAGGATCCTCTGCTGCAGTGCTTTTTTCCCACCTTTCTGTGTCTTTCTTTCTTCTTTTTTTTTCTTGAAAGAGAAAAAACCGTGCAATGTATGTTTATGCCTACACCATGCCGAGGCGACACTTACCAGTAAATAATCTCTGTATCCCTGAGGTAAGATACTGTTTCTGCTTTCCCTGCACAGTGCTGCTGCAGCACGGAGCAGATCCAAACATTCGGAACACTGATGGGAAATCAGCCCTGGACCTGGCCGACTCTTCAGCGAAAGCTGTCCTCACAGGTAAGGAAACAGAGCTACCACGTTGTTTTATCTACGGGACCCCTAGCTTGACTTTACATAAAACCTTTCTGCGCTGAATTTTATTTTCCTGCTGGTTAAGCTCAACAAATATGCGTGCCATTATCTCTACTTTATTATTGATTTGCTATATTAACTGTCTCATTAATTTCTATGCTGTCATAAGCATAAGCAGTAGGATTGTTTATTCTGCTTGGAATTTCTGAGAATTACAGCATTAAATGATAGCATAAAGTATTCACTCATGTATTAGTCCTTTTTTATGGATTCGAGCATAATTTCCCTGAACCTCCTCTTCTCTGTTGATTTCTTTTGAAGACCTTCACCACTGAGCAAGCAAGGGCATTTGTATTACTTATAAAAGTAGTTTTGATTGGAAAGACAACCTGCTGCCTTATTACTCAGATCAATAGTTAAATAAAATATGATGCTGCTCCTTCCTTGCCGTTCTGTTTATATTTTTATCCTGTCTTCTCACTTTGCCCGTGATAGCTAAGTACTTTGTAGATGAGGCAATGTATTGCCTTTTTCTTTCAGATAATGAACATTTGGGGCTTACATATTGGTTTTATTAAGGCAAATGTCAAGAGCCAGCAAAGAGGAGATGCTGGCATAGAAAGGCTGTCTCATAACAATATAGAAAATAATGCTATAAGTGAGAGGATACGGAGCAGCTGTTCTCATTGATCTTCGTTCTCAGAATACTGCATTGGATCTATTTTTGTTTTTATTCTTAGCATCTGAGTTCTGCTGCCTTTGCCTTCTTTTACTTAACTGACCTTTGTAATTTGGAGCCTCTTTGTCACTGCAGTGCTAACAGTATTGTTTTAGGTTGTGTGAAAGTAAAAGACTTTTACCTTCCTTTTAAATTTGCCCGTGTTTGAAGAAAATAAATCTTATGTTCACTTTTAAGTTTAGAGTACATGCTGCGCATTTTTAATAGAGCCTGAGGTGCATGGAAAATGTTTATACGTAGAAGCTTTGAAAATGTGTGGAATTTTGCTCAATTACTCCACATACACAACTTCTCACTATTGCTAAAATTGAGATAAATCTCTGCTCAATCCGAGTGATAAGACTTTTCACCATTAATTAAGTGATTCGAATTGGTGAAGTCATTTGGTTGCCGAATCAAGATAACATATACTAGAGAAATAAAGCTATTTTAAACTAGTGTAGATAAGAGGAACTTTAAGTATAATTATATAATTTTAACTAATGCAATGAAAAGATACAGCCTCAGGCCTCCTTCCATCCCCTCTTTTCACAAAGCACTAGGGCCGTAGTAGTAGCAGCCTTGGAGTGGGCTGTGACCGGAAGAGAAACAGCGTCTGTGGGAATCGAGGTGTGTTCCAAACGCGGACCAAGACTGTCTCTGTGGCTGAGTGTCCTCCTTCTGACCTTTCCTTCTCTTCAACCCTCAACGCCTTTCTTGTCCATCTGTGAGATTCATTTAATGCAACCGTGTTTTTAAATCCACTTCCAAGTTTTTCCAAAGACAAAGTTGAAATACAAATTATTAACAGCACGAAGCTATGTCCTAACTTGAAATGAATTTCTGGGGGGATGATACTGGCTGCTGTTTGTTTGCAGAAGAGCTTTGGCATAATAACTCATGGAGACTAGATTCCTGGAAGACAGATGCCGTATCTGTTAAGCTTGATTTGAAAACCCTCTTGGGCTGTACTTTGCTTAGATAGGGAGATACTAATTCTCCTTGGTCCTAATACTGAATTCATTAATTGTTCTTTTCATGAATAGTTACCCTTCTGGAAATGATGTACCACTTTTTAGGTTTAAAAGGTAAACATTCTAGTGGTGGTAGTTAATTTTGTGGAAAATATAAGCTAGTGATATTTACACGTTCATGTTATATAATCTTAGTGAATTAACACTTTAGGGAAATGGATTCCAAAATGTTTTTCTACCCATACAGGTTTCCTTCCAAGCAGTCCTTTTGAATGGAATTATAGAGGCAATAGTATTTCCAAAGCTAAGTTAAAACAAGAAAGCACTGATAAAAAGAATCTTTTGAAAGGAATGCCTTAATTTAGAGTTATTAGGGATTATTTTGGGTGATGTGTCATTCTTTGTTTTTATGCCAGGTGGGGCTTTAGTACTGGTACTTAGCTTAAGAGTAAACTTCCTGTTCTTGGTATTTTTCCTCTTTGGGAATTTAGTTGCTGAAGACGGTTTTCTAACATCTTTTATGTTACTACCTATGCATTAGGCAAAACTGTATACAGATGTCTATGTATATTCCTTAAAGAAGTTAGCAAAGTGAATATCTCTTTTTATAGAATATTTTAAATATTCTACATTGAAGAAATGACTAATATCCTCGTCTGCATAAAGAATGCATGGATTTTTATGAAGCCATAGAAAACAACAGCATACCTTTAGAATAATTAATTGGAGAGACTCATCAAACTCCTATAGCGCTAAGTGAATGATACCCAAAGAAGAAATCTTGAGGGGTTTTTTTGTTGGTGGTGGTGGTGTTGGTTTTTGTTAGCCACTCTGAAGTTCTGGGCAGTTAACCTAAGATCTTGGAGGTGGTTGTTTGTTTTTATTTTCAGGAAATAAGCATATAAAAAGCCTAAAACGGCCTATGTAAATTTTATTCAAGAGGAGTGTGGGTGTGCCTTTACTTTGGCCTTTTCTTCCTCCTCCCCCCCCCCCCCCCCAGTTAAAAGAAATACATTCCTTGTGGAAATTAAGGAAAGTAGAAAAAGTACAAGAAAGAAAAAATCATTCTTAATTCTACTACCTAGAGAGACCATTTTGGTCTATTTTATTTGTAACCTTTTTCTGAGCACACATATCCCACACTCTTCTTTCTCTTTAATCAAATCAATCTTATACATTGCATGCTGCTTAATAGTACTTTTTTAAAAAATGGAATTACATGGATACTCCCAGAATGCATTAAGTTTTCTTCTGCAACATGAATTTATAATGACTTTATAATATCCTTCTATGGATATATTTAATTTTTGAGCTAAATCCCCCGTTTAGGTAGGTTGTTTTCATTCTTTATTCTTACTTGTAAATGTAGAGTCATTTTATCAATTCCATTGGAAATGTGCTTCTTTATCATGTTCAGCCTTAGCATCCACAAACATGTTCTCTCTCTCCATTCCTGACTGAAGTATGTGGGGATTTGGAGAACGAGGAGCTTCCCTCTTAAGGGTCTGCACTGCATGTGGTGTTATATGGGGAGAGCCACATTTAAATTAAAGTTGGTTGACACAGGAAATGTTCCTTACAGAGGGCAAGGATGTAGGGGTGTTTGCTAATCCTGTAAAGGAGGTTTTGTAGGGCACAGTGGGAAGTTGAGTCAGGAGAAGCTATAACAGCAGATTGAAGCTGAGAGTTTGGGAAAGGATACCCAACCAAAGGATTGTTTATCATTGGCAGAACCAAAGATGAGTTTAGATGGCCACAAGGATGCCCAGTTAATTGGTCCCAGCGGTTTTCTAGCAGAGGTAAGGAAGTAGAGAAGAAGGGTGCGTTTGCACCAAGGTGTCTCAAGCATAAGCTTTAACTTGGATTCATTTCACTTCTGAGGAAATCCCAATTGGTGATTGATGGGCTGGCTCCCAGTCTTTCCAGAAGGACTCAGCCTTGGCCCAGGCTAGAGGCAACGTTGAGGGGTCTGGCGTGTGCTTGCTGAGTGTGGCGTGTTCCTCAACAAAATATATCTGGAGTCCTACTTCTTTTTTTTTCTACTCCATTGCTCCCTACTGCTTTTTAGAAGAAACCAAAATCTTCTTCAGGATGATTGGTGAGGACTTTAGGGAACTGGACCCTACCCAGATAGGTTTGCTCAAGCCAAAATTTAAGATTCCTTTCTTTTTCTCATACTTTGCATCCACACTGTCAGTAACTCAGGTCTACAGTACTTTCAAATCTCCAACCCAGCCATGTCCTACCAGCTTCACCGCTTCAGCCTTAGTACACGCCTTGACCGTCTTTCTTTTGTTTGTGACGGCAGTGACCTTGTAACGAGTCACTGCCTCCACTAATTTTTCACTCAGTTTTCACTGTAGCTGGAGTGGTCTTTCTAAAGCATAGATCAGCCCTATGATTAGAAAATCCCTTAATATATTCTTATTACCCTTAACTAAAGCCCAAACTCTTTGGCCATAGCATACCACGATGGGCCCCTGCCTTGCTTATCTCTCATTTGTCTTCCACTGTGTTCTGCCTTGATCTCTTTGCTTCAACCACAGCTGGATACTTGCTGATCTCCAACAGACAGACGAAGGCCTTGTCTGTGTCTGGACTAACACATGCTAGTTACTGAACCTGGAACACTGCCCCAGAACTTCACGTGGTTCAAGTCAAATCTCCACTTAAGTGCTTACTCCTCAGAGATGTCTTTTTGTCCTCAGTCCCGTTAGCTTTCTTTATTTTCTTCAAGGATTTATTGATATCTGAAATGGCATTTTTTTTCTTGTTTATTTGCCCCAATACAACGAAAGCTCTACAAGGATCTGGACTGTTGTGTGTCTTGCTCACTTCGTTGTGCGCAGGACTTAACATAAATACATGAAATGATTAAATAAACAAATACTTCAAGCGTCTGATTACTGGTGACTGAGGGCAGCATATCTTCCACGTCCTACAAATACTCGTTAACCATTAATTACTTGATATCTCGTGCCATATTGTAATAGTCTTATTAAATTTTGTACTTCCCAAAAATGGTTTTGGATTGCTTATAGTCATGTACATACTCTTTTAAGAGTACATTTAAAATAATTTTTAAATTGGTGTGACGGGTGACGTGTGTACTGACCCTTTCATCAGCAGATTTCTCGGGTAGCTCCTTTGATCGAGAACATGCCAGTTCTGGAAAGATCAGAGTGCCTGCAGCTGTCACATCAAACTTCTAGATGTGAAACCAGGGCCTAATTTTTACTGTTTTTTTGTGGTTTTCTGTTGTTTTGGTCTTTTGTTGTTGTTGTTGTTGTTGT